CTTTTTTATTCCTTTTGTAACTGAAAAGCCCCTTTGGGGAGTTGCAAATAAAGTATGTATGTATGTATGCTGTCTAACAGGCTCCACAGTAGTTGACTGAGCTGAATGTGCTTTGAATTCATGGAAACCTGACCCTATTATTATTATGGAAATAAATGTATAACAGATCAGTCAACCTTATTTTATAAAACTTCCTTTTCTTTTAGCTTCAGTACAAATTACACAAACTTTTATCATCAAAGTCAAATTTGAAATTTAGCTCTTTGTTTTACTGGTTCAGCCATTACTAATTTTACCTATGATTTTACTTATGGACTTGTGTGAGGCAAATAAAAAATCTATTTTTAATTACCCACATCACAAAACACAACTAAAAAGGTCTCGACTTTTATAATTTTAAAACTTAATTTATCTCTTTTCTCTAAGGAAAGCTTGCTCGCATAGTATAATCCATAACAACTAAACACTTTTCCCAAGTAGTTAGTATTTATACTGCATTGTACATGTATACACAATGTATGGTTATCAGTTTTCAAATGAGCAAATAAAAATAAACAAATTAAACAAATGATTGTGCAGTACATACCATGAGCTGTTGTATCATGTTGAGTGTTACAACAACAAGCATTCCACAGTACAACCCAGTACTAGCCTCCAAGTGAAGTTGTGAGGGTCTTCTGTGAGTACATGCGTGATGTGCTGATAAGTGCTCTGTCAGTTGAACGTGTATTTCCCATACGCGTAGCCATGCTCGAAAAAAGTCTTCGGCAAAAAATGATTGTACAAGACTGCAGTGATGGACAAGCATTTGCTTGTAATGTAGTAACAAAGATCATTGTTTCCATTATGTCAAAGTCACAAGTGATGCACGAATAAAAAATGAAAGTAAACAAAACAAAACAAACAACAACATGGAAATAAAATGCTAAACTGAAGTGATTACTGGCTACAGATATACAATAAAGGCTTGTTAAGGAGAGATACTGGCTCAAAGAGACACTTTAATAAGCCTCAAGTGCACTTACAGACCAATCCACTCCCTTCAATTAAAACACAAGGCTGGTGGTTCCAGAGGTTTGATTCAATCTCTCTGCAAATAATATTGTAGTTTTCGAAACTCCTTATATAACTGCTTTCTTCATTAAGTCAGGGGTTTCAGTTAATGAATTAAGGGAACATTATTAATTAGCATTTATTACTCTTTCCAGGAATACCTAGATGGGAGTCTTCCCATTGAGACAATCAGATTCACAACAATATTGCTAGCTTACCAAATGAGATCTAAAAATGTTAACCAAATATTTCTTTGCACAAATGAAGAGACAAAAAAGCATTACAGGATAAATGAAATCGATTTCACTCCAGCTCATTCAGGTTATCAAGTACAATGCATGTATTTGGCATATAACAACAAATAGTTTAACTGAAATAAGTTATTTGCATGTCATGAGGCAGTCTTTGCCTCATGTTTACATTTGGCTAATTAGGCTCATAGTGAATTGTTGGCAAATAAGAAGGCATGAGAGGACAACATGGAAGTTTTCCAATATTGTACTTGGTAAAAATAAATACCATAATCTAAAGCAGTAAAAGACTAAACCATGTTTTACGTCTTAAACCGCTTTTAAGTTTCTGGTGTCATTTTGACTGGCCATGCATTAAAAGCAAGAACTTAAGAATCAAACCCTTAAAATGATGTTTTATTTTCTGTAGACAGAAAGATAAAAAGAATAACTGAATCTAAATTATGTTTTCTGTGGGTGTCCCACATTCAGGGGTAACGCAATTACCACAATGACTAGGAAATCCCTTTATCACTAATGCAGCTACTAAAACTAACACCCAGAAAAATAGTGACCTGAAATGACTATACTTCCCAAGTATAAAATCAAAAGAAAATTGCTTTGCTGATTGATCCTTGAGAACTACTTTCATTTAAAAATATATTTTGCATCCCGTCCTTAAAACCTACCATTCTGCATTTTTGTAAAACAGAATAGATTCCACAAACGTCGTAGTAAAAGAAAAGCTCCACAAATAACACTGTATAGGAAGATTGAATAAATAATTACCTATTCTGACTATGCCAAATAATTATTGTTTTGCATTCTTCATCTTACTCTGGGAGAACCAGCTTAGTAGTCTTGGCCACATTTCAATTAAGAATAATTTCACCTGGCCTTGATTAAAAGTTTGTGGTTCTTGGTTTAATTCAGTGGCATTGATGAAATATTGACATACTCAATGCTTTCATCCAAAAACCTCCTACTCAACTTGCACCATAAAAAATACACAGACATCTTGGCTACTCCCTTGAGAAATTCAAGAGGTATTCATTAACTGTGTGTATCTGAGAGAGAGTAGTTTCTTGCTAAATTCAAATCGGTGACATCTATGTAAGTTCCAAGAAATAGCAATAAATTTGACCTTTTCACACCAGCTGATGATGTACATACCTTCCACAAAGAGGAACTGCACTTTGAAGCAAACAGAAAGCACAAAGAGAAAGACTTTGTAATGTCACTTAAATGGTAATTCAATGGCAGTGCTCAAAACACTTTAGCCAGACAATTTATCCATCCTTTGAATCCACCAACTGTTCTATCATTCTTCGCTGAAACAAGCAATACATAGGAAATAGCCCTGAGAGCAAAAACAAGAAATTTAAACTGCTCAAACCAGAGACAAGCATCCTTTAAAGAAAAATGTGCCCACACTTAAGAAGACTGCAAATAAACTTTGTTACCTGTCAAACTTAAAGGAGACTCAAAGTCAACTTTCCTTTAATCCAAAATAGATTAAATCTTCTGACTTACAATGCTCAAACATGGAAGGATGAGTTAATCGGCTAGTGAACTCTGACTAATTCAAACTTTCTTGCAATGAAAGAAAAAAAAAACACTAAAAGAAAACCCTCAAAATAACAGATTTGAATAATCACTAAAATGTTCCGGTCCATTGTCATACATTTTTCTCAGTTATGTAAAAGATGATATTTTTGAACCAGAATGAAAGACAGATTTTGAACCCAATGACAAAACAATTAGAACCATCAAGAAACAGGATGAAACAAATGTCATACAAAGAAACATAATTTGGTATAAATTTTCCCCAAGTGACCAAAAACCATGAAAACTTTGGAATATGACACATGAGTCTCACGATACATAATATTCTTTTGTCTGTAGCTCAATTCGAGATCAGCGGGGAATAGGACCAAGTAATTATTTAAGAAGATCTAGTAAAACTTTCCTTTTCGTGCGAACATAAAAGACAACAGTATCATGTCAAATTGGAGACCATCTTTGCCCTTTTCATAGTTCAATTCCACGGCATTTGCATGAAACGGTTTACAGCATAAAGGAAATAAATCGTGAATACATAAAGTGATAAATTATTTATAGTGAAACGATCCTTTACGACTTGCAATACATTATGTGAGTCATCCCAGGTATACAAAACATTATGAAGAAACTATCGATATATTAAACGAACCCATATCTTTATAATGAAAAAATTCCCGCTAGTTGCAGAAGCAAGAGCGACTCTGCCAACCGCTAATTTATCTACACAACAACTGTACTTTAAATCGAACTCACATACAACACTGAAATTTAGCTTCCTCAAACTTTTAACACCTCTAAAAGACCGCGTTATGGACAAGACCAAGTAATCTCATCTTTCGCAGCTATACAAAAGCAATAGGAAAGCTACACTCTTTCCCAACCGAAACAGAACTCTTTTCGATCTGTATTTTAATAATTCATCGGATACGGTTTAAAGAAGATATCCTCATAAACAATACTTTGCCTCGGTGGAAAAAGAAGCCTGGAATTGTTCTGAAACAACACAAAAGATGTACCGACGTACATACAATAAGGGAGTTTGACTTCTGCGAAACACCTGATTTTTGCAGCGTGGATGACAAGAATGCAATCGCTCTCGGGATCTCTGAAGCAGATTTTTCCGGAATGCGTACGCGGCGTTGAAAAATGCTTCCACGATGTCAGCTGAATTTTAACGGAAAGCGCATATGATATGCAGTGACAGTTAATCTCGTGAAAAGCCTAAACCTACCCATTACGAGAAAAATCTTCTGTTTTGAAAATAATCAAGTTAAATTTGTCGCAATCTTGCTGGTGGGAAAAGGGTAGCGGAGTGCTCTGCATGTATAAAACATTAAACATGTCAACAAACGTAAGGAGCGCCTCGCGAGCCTCTTTTGTCGCGCAATTCAAACAACTTACGGTTTTGTTAGCCCTTTCTTCGAGATCGAAATGTTGATGCCTTGTCCTTGCAAGCAATCGAAACACGTACAGCAGCAGCCTGAAAGCTTTACAGGAACACTGCTCGTGGCTGGAATTGTTATCGCAGATTACCAAGGAACGAAAGTACGCGAGCAACGAAGCCGAATCGTCTTGAACATTCAAAAAACGAATTCAAAATTGACCATTCGCGACAAAATGCTTCTATTGATCAGCTAAGAATCATACAAATCTGCTTAGCTGACTACTGCCCGCTGGTTGAGTGCACTCAGGTCGGATAGCAGAGAAATTGCGAGACAGGTGGCTCTGAAGTTTGCCACAAGTCGCTCGATTTATCAACAAACATTCGGTTTTGCGTGAAGAAAAATTGAGCAAGATTGCCAATTTATTGCAAAACCGGATGTATTCTGAACACTTAAAAATCTAAACAGTAGCACACAAGACCTTTCTTAGTCATCTGCCACTAAAAATATGCAGAGAATACTCACCAAAGGAAAGTACCGTCTCCTCAAACCGACTTTGCGTACAGAGTACAAGCTAAAGCCAGACCGTGACTCTATGACGTCACAGAGAATTTAACGCATGCGCTATGAGATGTAGTCCTCGCGCGATAAACGGAATGGATCACGCGAAAAAGACATCTTGGAGGAAGTACACGAACAAAGCCATAACACACTTAAATGAGTTTTCTTAAAACAGATTGCTACTATGTTTGGGCGCGACACTCTTTTTTTTCTCGATACTGTGGGGCAGGCATATTCAAATCTAATGTCTACCTCGTTCAAGGTAAAGTTACCATGGAAATTCCACAAAAGACATTTGTTGTTGCCTTCCAGTTTTTAAGACAGGGAATAATTGGTGGCAAAAGTACTAACTCAGAGGTCGCGAGAATTTCGTCTCCACGAATCACTTTGACCCTAGAGCCTACCCCCTCAGGACAGAAAACTTTCTGGAAGGGTAAATAAAATAAGCAACTTAATTTTTAATTTTAAGGCTTTTTATAAGAGTATCTTTGATAAGCGCTCTGTTGGTGTTGTTTCAGCTTGCATTTACGCCAGAAATGAATACAAAAAAATATTCGCCACACGACACCAAAACTAAACCCTAACACAAAACCTCTCAATTATTACTTGTTATACAATTTTTCAATCGTTTTCAACGACGCGTGCTTCAGGGGCAGTTAAAATCGTTTTCTCTTTTT